TCTTAATCAGGATATTAATAAGGAACTAGCAGTTTATGAAGCTTTTGGAATAATCCACCAATTTTTTAAAATTAAACACTATCTAAAGATTTGCATCGAAGCGTTTTTTTTTGATAGTGATTTTAATCACTGTCAGATATCATTATACTTGATCCAACTATGCCACGTCACCACTGTGCCGCGACCCCCCTGTGCTGGGTTTTTTTTTATTATTTTAAGGTACCAGGTAAATATTTTTGCCATATTTTTAAGGTCTTATCATCACTACTTGTTACAATTCTATTTCCAGTTTTATCAAAAGCCAAACTCCAAACTGTTGATGAATGCGAACTAAGGGTGCCAATACAAGTCCATTCTTTATCTGACGGATCTTCGGAATATAACTTCACATTGTTATCGTAACTTGCAGAAGCCAAAATGTCATCAAAAGGATGCCACACAACTTTTTTAACATCTTGTGAATGAGCATTCAAAACAGCTGCACATTCATACTCATTATCTTCCCATACTTCCCATACCCAAACAGATTTGTCTCGACTACATGTAGCTAACAGAGATCCAGATCTAGACCATGCAACACTTTTAACTTCATTTTCATGACCTTCTAAAGTAGCATTACATTCAAATTGTCCAGACTTATTATCCCAAATAGCAATAGTTGCATCAAAACTAGCTGATGCTAAATTTTGGCCACAAGGAGACCATGATATGGCTCTTATAGTACGTTGATGGCCATCAGCAAGTAAACATTTCAATACACTCTTATCACCATCTTTATAATTCCATAACCTTATTGTTTTATCTTCTCCACATGAAGCTAATATTTGTCCTTTTGGATGCCATGCTATATTCCATACTATACCCGAATGGCCTTTCAAGGGACAAAGGGATTTTAGTCTTTCCATTCTGGGGTATATTTAAATTTCTGTAAGTCAAATTAAACACTCAAGTATTGAAGATAAAAATAAATGTTACAACTATGAATAATTTTATTTTTTAATGTAAACATAACTCAAACTAGGAACACTGATAAGATTTGTAGAGCTTATTTTATTCAAAATTTTAATTTAAAAAAATTTCACTATAAAAATAAATAAATATTTACACATATGAGCATTCACACATTTTTATTAAAATCGAAATATGCAAACTAAGAAGAATGTTTACATACACAAGATATTCATTAAAAATTTAATAATTATGCTGTAACTAGTTAACCACTGGCCAGCTATTTAAATTATTCCTTGAAAAAAATTAAGTTTCTTTAATGAAATAATTTATATAATAATTTTTTTTTCTTAATTTTTTTTAAGAATATTTGGCATAAAGAAGAAACTCAATTAACAACAACTTTCTATTATTATGCTATCATCAACTAATACAATTCAGATCTTACTACTTTAAAAATACCTAACATAGTCACAATAAAACTTTGAATTTTCTGAAATTTCAAAAAAAAAATCAAGTTTAAAAAAGTTATCATAATTCAAGATAGTTTCTTTATTTGTATTGATTATTAATATGTATTTGCCTTTAGTTCTAAGCCTTAGTTATAACCATACTTGGGTAGAATATTTTTCGAATAACTTAGAAATTTTTTTTTGAATTATAACAAATCTAAAAATTATTTTCTTCTTTTTCTTCTTCTTCCTCACCTTAATCCCAACTACTTGGGGTCAGCCACACTTATCCTAAACTTCACTTGACACGATCTCCCACATCATCTACGCTCACATAAGATAAAGTATGACGAATGAAAAAGTTATTATTAAAAAAATATTATTTCTCATAAAAAAATTGTGTTGATTCATACACATTTCAATAAATTATAGCATTATAAAGTTAAAAATGTAAAAAATAAAATCGAGAATTTTCACACAAAAATAGCATTCAGTAGACATTTTCAACGTGAAGACAAGTCCAGAGGTCAATTTTTTTTTTCAAATTAAAGTACATTACATTAGCTTTAATTTAAGATATATATAAAAGTGTCAGACCTTCCGGAACATTTTCAAAAGTTAATTTTTTGTGAAATAGTTTATAAGTTTATACTTTGGTGATAATATAGTATATCCATACTAAGAAATAATCAACAGAAAAATTTTGGGTTGCCTGCGTTATTGTTTATTTATAGTACAAAAATTATTAGTCCTTTTCTTGTATGTGCCCACATGCAATTTATCATAGGTAGTCTCGATACTTGTTTTTCATTTCAAGTTTTAGGTGAACATAAATCATTTTTCTTGGTGTTTCCTACCTCTCTTTTTAAAACCTAAAAGTCCGACCGTGACCGTGATTAATTTCGGATGTATATTTATGGAACTTGACGCGGTCGCATTACACTTCTGACTATATCGCTGGATGGCGACTGCGACTCAGCTACCTTTCCTCGTCCGACAGGTCATGCGACGCCGAATGGCCGCGAGTGACGCGAATCGGTCCGGCGATGCACTAATAATAATATTCATCTTTCAACTTCCTTACAGAACACCTAGTGTAACGTTTACTGCTTTAGTTTATAGATTAATAATAACAATCTATCGTCCTTTACTATATATTTAATCATGGTGTTGTTTATTTATTATAAAATAAACCCATAACTACATCATAGGCGCAGTCGATTAAGGATTCTTTTATGCACACTAAAAAGTAATTAAAGTAAGTGCTAAATTAATTACAGCAATTATTATTTTTAGCACCCTTAATTAAATATTTGCAAACTAGTGAACCTACAGCTTTAACTGATAATAAGTCTAGTAGGTCCCAGAAAAAGAAATTTTTAAGACTTAATTAGTTATAAGCTTATTAATTTTTGGGGTTAAGGTATATACAGGCTGATTTTTTTATCATAACCCACTCAATTACTTTAATAATAATAATAATTTAAACATTTTTTTTTTTATTATCTTTAGTTACACATTATTCTTGAATTATTAACTATGTAACACTTTTTAAGTTCATCCCTTATGCCTCGTAAGGATGTCAACTTTGTTTTTTAAATGGGAACACATATTTTGAGTTTAATAAAATGTTTGAGTTTTTAATTTAATAGTAAATGTCATTTGAATTTTTAGTATAACTTTATTTGTTTATTAGATATAACATTTAAAGTTTCAAATTTTTGAGTTAATATACATCTATAATACACAAGGGTTTATAAATACAGGTAGCTAATTGGTTATTTATGACATCAATATTAGCAGATACACAACATTGTTATTATCAATGATAGTTAGGTACATTGTTGTGAGTTTATAAATACACTGACTGACAGTACAAAAAGTAAATCTATTGATAGTCATAATTGATAATAAATAATCCGTGACTGTGGCAGCAATGTCATAAAAATTTTCGACCAGGAACCCAAAAAGTCACAGGATAAGCGCAAAATACTATATATAGAGCTGCATATTGGCTGACAGCTGAACTTTGAAAGTTTATGAGTACGCTAAGTTCACAGCACCGGTGTATGACATTGAAGTGCAATATAGAGCCGCGGTACTCGACCATCTTATCGGTGACGTTGTACTAGGACATTACTTGTTAGTGAAACATGAAGTGGCTTAGAACTATCAATCTTGTACAATCCACATGGGTACAGGAAGAAGAGCGACGGTATGCTGGAGAAAACCGACTTTCAAACGGGAAACCGAACCGAAAATGATTATCCTGGAAGGGGAGTTTCCAGAAGTTGTCCGGTCAATATTATTCAAGTACCTAAAGGTTTTCTCCGAATAAGTCGGGAGGACCCGAGTCATTGAACATGACATCCGTTTAAATGAGAAAACTCCGGCTACTTTGAATGCATATGCTAATCATCGTGAAAAACAGCATACCATTACACGTATGGTGCGAGAAATGGAGGAGCAAGGTATTGTAGGACTTAGTACCTCGCCATGGGCATCTCCCGTAGTTCTCGCCAAGAAAAAAGATGAATCCCAGCGATTATGCGTGGATTACCGGAAACTGAATCTCCAAACAGAATTCGACGCACATCCAATGCCCGACTTGCACAAAATGGTCCGTGGAATTGGTGGTGCTAACGTCTTCAGCACCATCGACCTAAAGTCTGGTTATTGGCAGGTCAGTTTGATCCAGGAGTCAAGACTGCTCACCGCGTTCCGCACACAAATGAGCCTCTGCCAATTTAAAGTAATGCCCTTCAACCTTAAAAATGCCCCGGCTACTTTTCAACAGTTGGTGAACAAGGTTTATGCGTGGATACGTCACTAAATTTGTATTTGTATACCAAGAAGATATCGTGATGTACTCAGTGTGTATGGAGGATCACCTTAACCACATACAACGAGTCTTCGAATGGTTACAAACACATGGGTTGACATGTCAACCGAAAAAATGCAGTTTCGGAGTAACCCATATAAATTTATATTTTTTATATTTTCTTGGGTCACTTAGTAGATTCGACGGGAATTGACAGGAAGGTGGAGAAATTAACTGCATTCACTGAATTTCCTGTACCGAAGAAAGTCAAAGATCTACAGAAATTTCTCGGAGTATGCGGTTGGTACAGTCAGTTCGTGCCCAATTACACTGAACTTACCGCTCCGCTAACTGATCTTTTGGCTCATAGGATCAAATGGCGATGGACGATACAAAAGCAAGAGGCGTTCCAGAAGTTAAATGAAGCTCTTGCCTCTGCACCTCGACTCTGTCCACCACTTCAAGGACAACCGTTTTATATACAAACGGACGCAAGTGAGATAGGATTCGGTGCAGTACTATTTCAACGGGAATAAACCGGGCAGAGAAGGGTTATCTCATACGCCAGCCGAAAACTTTCTCCCACTCAGACATGGTATTCAGCCGTAGAACGTGATTGTCTAGCCATTGTATGTGCCGTTGATCGCTTCCGGCCATATCTAGACGGGAAATTTACTTAGCTCATGGACAGCATAGCGCTGAAGTTGTTACACCACACTTCGACTTTGATATTCAGCAAATGGCTGAAGTTGAAAATCAAACAGCAGATACCCTTTCAAGAAGCCCTAAGGAGAAAACTCCGGTAGATGAAGATCAATTAGAAAACAACTACCATGATCCACCGTTGACCGGAGATTTATCCGAACGAAGTCAACTAGGGGAAATAAAAAAGGATGCTTACCCGGAGAATATACCTATTTCCGACATAAGAACCCGAAAAGCAGGAGGTGCAATTTTGGCTCAGTATGTTCGGAAACTCCGTAGTGAAAATCCAATTTATCGGCACTTACACCAAAAATACCACATGTAAGATGGTATTTTGCTAAAAGGCCCGGTAAATAACGGAACGGACGGAAAGATTATCGTCGTTCCGTCACACATGTCAGACCACCTATTATGAAGGTATCATGACTATGTTTCTTCCAGAAATCCAGGATGGAAAGAAACTTACCGGAGCATTGGTAGTCGTTTCTTCTGGACCGGTATGAGAGATAAGAAAAGTTATAAGAGATAGTAAAAAAAGAAATTGTTAAGATTAATATGCAATCAGGAAATTTTATAATTACAATTTACAATAAATTTATCAAAAAAGCTCGATTTTTTTTTTGTATTTTTATTGTAATAGATCACTTAAATAGAAATCATAGTAAACATTTCTAATAAACTTTTGGTGTTTAAAAAGATTCTATAATTGAAAAATGCAAAACTGAATTCATTTTAATGATTTACTTTAACTAAAAAACGGTAGCACAGTGGGGTCGAGGCACAGTGTGGACGAGGCATAGATGTACCAAGTATAGATGATATCTGACAGTGATTAAAATCACTATCATAAGAAACGCTTCGATGCAAATCTGTAGATAGTGTTTCCTTTAGAGAAATTGGTGAAATATTTTAAAAGCAACATGAACTCTTATTTCTTTAATTATATCCTGATTAGTAGTTCTTTGATTTTAAAATATAATATATGAATAAATACTAATTATAGTTTTTAAATTTAGTATGAAATTGTGAGGCCAGCTATGATGTATGGTTCATAGTG